AACAACAACAACACTTGTTTGTATCAAGAAACTTGGAAGTTAGCCATGTAATAGTTCCACTGAAAGAGTTCAGATCTGTGCTTATTCCAAAGAAAAATAACCAAACAAAATATTGACATTTTCGAACAATATGATTAACATCAAACATAAATAAAATTTAGTGAGGATAACTCAGAACCAGTCAGATTATTACATAACAATGAAACAACTAGAACTTAAGCTTGTCAAAAGAAGTAGTTAAATAATGATAGTATTGCAGATGCCAGATGGAGTACCAAAAAAAATTATTGTCTTAGACTCGGTTCTCTAAAGAAGCAAAATCAGTGAAGCCTTGATAGATGGTGTGCTACAGCAAGTGACATTTCTAGTTATTGAATTTGACTTCCATCCTCTCGCTGGGCTATTGCCATTGGTATAGACTATCAAGTAGACTTCAATGCCTAGCAATTCTATTTACAATTAATCACACAATTCTGTCCCATCCTTATAAGATTTTCTACACTAAATGCAATCATTACAATCACTGTATCAATTATGTCCTTGAGCTTGTTCTTTTCTTTGCTTGCTAAATTTTACCAAGCATGATGTCCTTTTCTCAGTGAGAGCTGACAGCTTCTGATAACTTGTCCAAAGTCTGTGATATGAAGTCTCACCAACATTGGCTTTAAGCAATACTTTGCTGTACTTATTCCAAGGCACATTTATTTCCTTTTTTTTTTACAGTCCATAGTATACTCAATATTCTTCTTGAATCCCACAATTCAAAGGCATTGTTACGTCTTTGGTCTTCCTTTTTTATTTCACAACTTTTCATATGTGTACAAAGCAATTGAAAATGCTGGGGTTTGCGCCAGACACAAGTTAAGTCTTTAAACTAAACTCCTTGTTATATTGTAATTTAAAGACATTTTTAGCAGCTGATTTGCTCAATGTAGTATACTTTTGAATTTCTGTACTCCTAAATCCATGCGTGGTGATTGTGGATCTAAGCAAAATAACACAAAATTGGCAGCTTTGATTTTTTTTTGTTGCCTATGTGTTGTATAAAAACCCACTAAGATTTCTATGCCATTCTCATAGTCACCAATGTTCAGCTTAAAATTACAATCACCATTATCAATTAATCTCACTTAGGTTCTTCCTCTTCTGTGGTCATATTTTGATTTACCAAATGTAAAATGAGTATAGGCAGCAGAGGGTGGTCCAGTCTGAGTTCTGCTAACTCCACGAAGGTAAACCATTCCCATCAACACTGTCTACAGTTCTTCTTCTTCTTGTTCTTATGTGCAATCTAATAACATGCTGCACATAACAAATATATGTGGAACAGCTCTGAAGTCAGTCTTGTTCTGAACCAATCTCACTGATTCTTACATATCAACTTCTATTGACCCAGTGACTATATCAATCCATCTCATCTGGGATCTTTT